CAGTGTAGTGTTGAACTGCCTAGACTACACATAATTATTGATGACAGTATTTCTCTCTACTATCAAAATTTTTCTCAGGTGGTGCTTGGTCTGACTGGTCAGTTTGGGGGTCTTGCAGCGTTAATAATGAATTCTGTGGAGTTGGTGAAAAGATGAGGTATCGACAATGTCTTGACGAGGTCTTGGGATGTAGGGGAGAAGAAGCCGAATATCAACTATGTGAAATGAATGACTGCGTTGAGGCAGGCAAGTGTTATAACGAAATGTTCCGTAGTACATCAACCGGCTTTTATCTTACAACAGTTTGTGAACAATAAAAATGTCTTTGGTCACCGTTCTGCTGTTTGAGGCTGATGGTTTCGACGAATTACTTCGTGGATTTGTTGTCTTCTATATTTCTCTGACTGCTATTTTTACTCATAGATTCTGGATGTGGTAGTCGAGTTACCGTCAGCCAACCTCGCATAGTAGGTGGCGAAGATGCTCTTCCTGGAGAGGCGCCATGGCAGGCGCAGATGTTCTATATACCACACGATGACGTTGTGTGTGGTGGAACCCTTGTAGGACCAAAACACGTCATTTCAGCCGCTCATTGCTTTGATAATCCTCCAAAGTAAGCAATTTGTTACTAGTTAGGTGGACCTATTGAAATGTAAAAGATGTGCTCAGTAAAAAAAAAAATCAATTAATATCACTAATCTTAGTGTGGTCTTAGATCATTCACTACATTGACGTATGTACTTCACACGTTAATTCACTATATTTTCATATTGCATACATAGCCCAGCAGTTTGGATGATTCGTCTCGGTAGATATACAAGAGGCAAACCACTAAGTCCCGCTGATGGTGAATCAGTCGAGGTTGGCGTTGAAGAAATCATAATCCACGAAAAATATGACACACCAGTGGATAGCGACAATGATATAGCCTTAGTTATTCTCGACACAGAAGTTGATCCAAGTGATTTCATTAACTATGCTTGCCTCAATTATAACATCACATTCCACGGGGACAGCTCGTGTTTTGTCTCTGGATGGGGGACTTTACAACGTATGTATGAATAATGTGTTTTTTATTATTGTTTTATTAGTGTTTGATAAACATGCTTGTTTAAAGGGTGGTAGTCGTCGTGCTACGCAACGCGAGATATATGGGTCTCATATAAACAAAGATGGCGACTTTGACTGTTGCGCAGATCAACGAGTACAAACTGAGACGTTTCCAAGTTTTAATTAGGTATCGAAGGTATCGAAGGTATCGAAGGAGTCGCCGGCGGTAATCAGTGCAAGTCGCACCCAGGTCAAACTTCATACATGTGAGAACGCTGTTTTCCCTAGTTTTAGTTTATCACGTGCGCCATTTCACTACGATAACATTACCATGCAAAAAATAGTCCGCTATAAAATGGTTCGTATTTACGTTTTTACTGAAGTCTGACATTAATGAATATTTCGGATGTCACATACGTTTTCTTCCACTTTTTGTAATACGTTTTCAGATGTAACAACTACAGGAAAATGGCCGTGCGTAGTGAGGTGATTGACCACAAAATTGAAGGCTGCCTGTGGCAGAGGCACTATTGCGTAAAGCGCAAAGGCCTATGGGAAGGAGATTGACTGAAAATACCTTGTAGTGACGTCTAAACATCGCGTGGGATTCGACAAACGCGAAACATTCTAGACGTATTTCCTTGCTTAAGGTAGAAGCCTACTCATAAATATAAGGATATTGACCTAAACAAAGTTGGGGGTCACCAGCCTTTTTTCGAGAAAAGGATGGTTGTATTTTAGTGGAAAGTCGCCATTTTGACACTATTATAACACTTTTATCACAGGTTCCTATGGCAGAGATATTATGCAATATCTCACAATCTAGCCTGGTGACATAGGCTGAAAAAATCATATATTGTTAATGATGGGTTACCTTTTGTTGTTCTGAATTATTACAAAAATCTGGGTTTTAAAAAGTGTCAAAAAATGCAATTTTCTTTTAACATTATGTTCTATTGAATTGTTCTAAAAATAGAAATTTTTAAGAAATATTAGGACACGTTTCTCAAAAAGTATAACTGTAAGACACAAAATAATGCTATTTCATTGTACCATGGGACATTAGCTTCACGATTGTACATAATAAACTAATGAACATTGTCATGCAATTTATGACCAATTTTGTCAAAAAATATGACTAGGCTTCTACCTTAATTAAAGCGCGGTGGGTGCACAGCGCGTGTTCGAATTTCATGTAAATAAACAATGTATTTTACACGCATTGTATACGTCGCCATGAGTCCCATATCGAACAGGACGCGGCACGACTGCCACCCTTTAATAATGTACTATACCAGAGGTACATTACTTATGTACCTTTGACTATACATATCGAATCGAATCAGATTGCACAGAAACAAGGAATGTACAACAGATTGTAGTTTTGCTGCTGACAACGATAATCAAATCAGAGACGCTGTACTGAATAAACGCACTTCTGATTATGTACGCCGAAAATTGCTGGAGGAAGGTCAGGGGTTAAACTTAGCACGCGCACTCGTAATATCAGATCAATGTGAGAAAGTTGAGGCTCAGATGACAGCGCTCAGTACAGCCAGAGGAGGAGAAGTAACCATGAACAGGGTTATGGAAAAAACATGGAAAAAGCCAACATGGAGAAAAA